GGGCTGTTGGTCCTGGCTGCTATGAGAAAGCAGACTGAGCAGACCACAAGTGAGCAAGCCAGCAAGCAGCACTGCTCTACGACCCCTACTTCAGTTCCTGATTTCAGGTTTCTGCTCTGAGTTCCTGCCTTGCCTTCCTTCAGATGTGTATTTTGACCTGAGAGTTGAATGATGAAATGAATCCTTTGCTAAGTTGCTTTTGGCTATTGTGTTATATCAAAGAAATAGAAACCCTAAGACATGTACCAACAGAATACCACATTTCCTGAGATCTGGTGGTTGCTACCTCTGTCTATGCTCTACTGTGGAAACAGGAAAGCGCATCCTTCCTGTCTTATTTAGGGTTTCTATTGCTGCGATGAAACACCATGACCAAATAGCAAGTTGGGGAGGAAAGGTTATACTTCAGCACTGCTGAAGGAAGTCAGGATAGGAACTCAAACAGGACAGGATCCCAGAGTCAGGGGTTGCTACTGAGGCAATGGAGGGGTGCTGTTTACTGAGGCTCCTTCCTCTCTGTTGACACACGAAGCCGGGCAGTACACTTTCCTTTCTTTTTTTTTTTTTAAATATTTATTTATTTACTTATTATGTATACAATATTCTGTCTGTCTGTATGCCTGAAGGCCAGAAGAGGGCACCAGACCTCATTCCTCATTACAGATGGTTGTGAGCCACCATGTGGTTGCTGAGAATTGAACTCAGGACCTTTAGAAGAACAGGCAATGCTCTTAACCACTGAGCCATCTCTCCAGCCCCCTACACTTTCCTTTCTATACCATTCTCGGCCTTCTAAACAACAAAGGAACGGTGTTTTGAGTACTCATGCTTAATGGAATCTTTCAGTGAACATAAATCTAGGTTACTGCTTATCAAAATATTGGGACAAAAGTACATTGAGCTAACATCTGTGCTATTCAGCTCCCATTCTTTGAAACACAGTAAAAAAAAAAATCCTAGAGGCTAAAGCCTTCCTGCAAATCCATCATTGGCAAATATAGGTCATCAGGATGAGAAATGTTTACTGAATTTCTGTAGATCCACGTGTCATAATGGGCTCAAGGGATAAAAGTTTGAACAAAATCCATGGTCTCTGTTGTTTTAAAGCATAAAAGCTTTATCGACTGATGATTGTGTGCATGTGTGTGTGATGGGGAAGATATGCTATAGCCTGTGTATAGAGGTCAGAGGTCAACTTTTGGGTGTCTATTTTTGTACCAGGCTTTTTTTCTTTTGAGCCACCAACCCGCTCCCAAATCATGACACAAAGACTTATTATTAATTTTGAATGCTGGGCCTAACTTAGGCATGTTTCTGGCTAGTTCTTTTAACTTAAATTAACCTGTTTCTTTTTATCTACCTTTCTACATCTGTATATTTTACTTTCACTGCTTCTTTATGTCTGTCTGGCATCTGCCTGGCTTCTTGACCTGGCGTGTTCCTTGTTCTCTCTTCCTTCTCTAGTTCTTCCTTCATTCCTCTCGAGCCTAGATTTCTTCTGTTTATTCTCTCTGCATGCCAACCCTATCTAGCCCTCTCCTGTCTAGCTAATAGCCATTTAGCTTTTTTATTAGAGCAATCAGTTGCCTTAGGCAGACAAGGTAAAACAGATGCAATATATCTCTATATAGTTAAACACATATCCTTACATCACTAAATAAATGCAGTATAAACAAAAGTAACACAACTTTACACAGTTTAAGTAATAGTCTGCTCTGTAAACAAATGTAACACATCTTTGCCTGGTTAAAATAATATTCGACAACCAAGTCTTTCCATTATGTGAGTTCCAGGGATCAAACTCAGGTCATAGGCTTGGTGAGAAATGCCTTACCTGCTAAGCCACTGGTCTTGAAGTTTGCAGACTGTAAGAGAACAAAATGATTACATAATTAATTTGTACGTGATTAGTTAAGCAATTACGAGTAGACAGCTAGGAAAAGGCTGAAGGTGTCCAAGAAAATCCAACCTGGATATCAGTGATTTTTCTCAACACCATGACAAAATACCCATCAGAGACAACCCCCGGGAGGAAGGTTTACCTTGGCTTAAGTTTTCAGGCGACTTCAGTCAGTCATGGGGGAGAAGGCGTGACAGTGGAATCATCTCAGTCAGTGGTGCTGGCAGCATGATGCGGTTGGTTACAACCTATGTGTTGTCTTGAGACTTCCTGGGGAGAAACAACAGACCTACTCACCATCAAAAGGGAGCCCGGGACAGACCTTTGTCCAGTTTGGGTGAACTAATGAGTTTTTATTGGTGATAATAACAGAAGTATGGATGAGAGTTATTTACAGAGAGCAGGGAGATCTCAAAACCAGCTCCATCACCGAAAGCCCACCCTAACACAGCTCTCTAGCCATTGATTTCTCCTGTATTCCTGCAGAATCTCTGGCCTCAGCGACTACTTATGAAGGGACCCCCACACAGAGGAGGTTCCTTTCTGGACCCCAGATGAGGTACGAACCACACCCAAACATGTTTTCACAAAAGATCTTTTCTTTTTTTTTTTTTTTTAGATTTCTTTCTTTTTTTTTTTTTTTT